GAAATGTTATATAAACCTTGTAGATCCTTTAAAATGTTATATAAAATTAAAAATATCGGCCAATGTTGGAAACCACAGGATTTATTATGTTTTTGCCAATTTTTGCCATTTAACTTTTTAACTTGATACATATATTATATAAAACATCTTATGCTCAATTTGGTACACAATTTTGTTAACAGCAGACCGATTCTTAATTTCTACACATTTAAAAACAAAATTTGGATTGGAATAAAATTGTCAAAGTCAGAGAAAAAGCCGAAAAATTATGTGACAAGATATCGTCACATTAGATCTCAAATCAAATGTGACAAACAATCATGTCACTCTAGGGTAGAGGTGAACACAGTGAAACACTACTTGGCAAGGGTTGATAAATATTTGTTCCTTTTTAATTTTCCCATATTAAGTACTCATGAATTTTTAGACTATCTGCCCCACTGATTGTTGTGTGCAATATCTAGAACTTTAGTGTCTAATATTTAGAACGTTAGTGTCTAATATTTAGAACTTTAGTGTCTAATATTTAGAACTTTAGTGTCTAATATTTAGAACGTTAGTGTCTAATATTTAGAACGTTTGTGTCTAATATTTAGAACGTTAGTGTCTAATATTTAGAACGTTAGTGTCTAATATTTAGAACGTTAGTGTCTAATATTTAGAGCTTTTGAGTTAAATATTTAGAACTTTTTAGACACATTTTTTCAAAATTCTATACCGTAACTGCAGTGTCTGTTTCCTTTGTACTGTACATCATGTTTGGATTAATTAATTTATTTCTATATAGCAATCATATTGCGTAATCTAATAACTTTGCAAATATCACACTTAGTTCGTCTCTGTCATTTTAAAACATGTTTCTCTGATTCAAATACATTTACATCTTATTGGCATAAGTTCTTTATAACATCACCTGAAAACTCTTGCAAGAAATATTACATCATGTCGCTGGACCCCCCTATACATTTATCCATTACTGTTATCATACGTAGCTATTTGATGTAAGACTGCAGAGTCAGACTCCCCCCCCTTTCTTGTCGAATTTCTCACTTGACTTGGATTTAAAGAGAGAATGAGAGGATAGATGAACTAATTCAAACCAGCATTCTAGTTACCCTCCTTCTTTTGTATGAAGGAGGGGGGGGGGAAGAGTTCTGCTATCAAGTGGCAGTATGCCCTCATTTAATATTTCCTAAAAGCATAACCCTCAGGAATTTTGGGGAGGGGGTCCAGTGACTTGATACGAAATAATGGTAAATGTAAGTTTGCTTTTAGATAAGTTGTATGTTTTAATCACTTGTGAATGGTTGCATATGTGATAATTTCATATGTGATAATTTCATATGTGATAATTTCATATGTAATCATGTCAGAACTTAACAACATAATGTCATGGTAACTATAGCAACGGTCTCATTTTCTGAAATTAGAAAACAACCGAAATGCTTCAATTGTCTTTTCAATCTACTGTACATTTATTCAGTAGCTGTTCATTATAGATAGTTTCCACCGATTTTAAAGTTGGATCGATCGGGTTATTAGAATAAGAGTATGCAAAATCAGTTTGTTTAACATCAATTATAAGCACAATTCAAACATGCCAGAAAATATTGGCAGAATATTAATTGTTAAAACAAAACAATATTCATGGTTATTTCACCCAATAAAGCTCTATAACATGAATCATAACAAAGTAGGCTTAAATATTTTTAATTTTTTCATTGTAATATCGGGATCAAATTCGTAGATTGTTTCAAGTCATCTTGGTTATGAACAGATCTGATTTTAGTATTTCATATGTTTACTTAATGAACTGAAAATGTCAGGGTATTTCAGATTTTCCTTAAAAATGGCTGGAAAATTATAGAATTCTGCCGAAAATCAGTTGGGGAGAAAAGTCTGAGAATTTGAAGTGATAATGAAGAATTACTGGACCACAAACTGAATTGAATTGGTATTCTTAAAAAACATTTTTCTGAAGCTGACTCAGGTCAACATGACCTGTTTAACAATAATTCAATGAGGCCCATGAGTTTATAGTAAAGTTGACCTTTGAATCAAGAAGTATGAAAGTTTATAAAAACATCTAAACTCACCAGGTTTGGCAAGTCAAAACGTTAGTAAAAACATGTTTTAACAGCAAAATAGAAGATCATCCTCAAGAGTTGCTCATCATAATGTAAACACTTAGCTTCCTAAGGAAATAATGCAAATCTGGATTGCGCTAGATTGGACTAGAATACTATTAGCGACAACTAGGTTAAATATTCATCTCAATCCAGTTGGTAACGTACAATGAATTGATAGAATAAATTTCAGCCGGATTGGAAATATACATTTTATAGTAGGATCGAGAGACTACATTTTAGCCTAATAGCGATAACTACTAGAGAAGCGAAGAAGCTCTATATAATATTAATACTATTTTAAATTCATTTTAAATTCAAACGAAATAAAAACTACAGTAAAACCTGTAAAGTGGAACACATCTGTAAGTGGAACACCTCAATAAGTGAAACACATCAATCAGTAGAACACCTCAAAGTTCAGTTATCCAGCATTCGGTTAATCAAAATTGAAGCTTTGTTAACACTTGCCTATTGAACAATCATTTTGAGCTATAATTATGCAAGTTTCACTGTATCGAAAAGGGTAAATAAATATAGAGCTACAGCCTTAGCCTGAAAAAATAATTTTTGCCTCACATATGATTTAGACCTATACACAAACCACTTCTTACTTTTTCAGATGAAGCTCTCTTTTAAGGAACACAATGAAATCTAAATAAAAGGTAAATTCAGACCTCACCCCCCAAAGATGAATTCACGTGGCAATTAGCTTATGTCCATATAAGACCTGGCTGAAAGTAAGATTATCACGGATATTTACAATTACGTATCACGAATATTTACCATTGCATGACGTACATGGCCAGAATACAATTAAGAGCATTGCCCTGTTCTGATAATCAATCAATATTTTCTTCAGCATAAAACATTTATGTGACCTCGTAATACAAAAATAACATAACAATGCAGAGAGCTTTCATTTCGTCAAAACCGAGCTTTTCTGGAACTCTTAAAAATCTGGAAAATTTAACATCGAGGATGAAGGAAAAAGGGGGAATAGCCAGAAGGGGGAGGGGGATTTGGATACATTTCATCTGAACTTTTAGCACTAACAGTGAAAATCTATTAAGAGGCAGATGTTTCTGAGTAAAGGAGTAGAAATATGTTATAGATATGTACGTCAATACAGCTTTAAGAGTGATAATACACAAAATCACAAAACAATCAAGATTATTAAGAAATATCTTATCAAATCAGCAAAGGGTCATTCATGTTATTCTCAGGGAAATATTTTTATGTATCCTTCATTAAGACTTATCTACCCTGAATCCATCTAAGCTTTATAACTAAACTGACTGTCACGGCTGATTTTAAAGTTTTAATAATAATACAATCTTTATGACCTCAAATGCATCTTAAATGGCATTTTATGAGTTTGAATGTGAAACAAATATTTGAAATAAAATGAAGTCAAGCTATTTCGAAATTAGAACTGCATGATGTAACACATGTAATCCTGAAGCGTTAAATTCATAAAATAATAAAAAATATGTCTTATTTTCCAGGCAAGCTAACTTTGTGAGGTTACCGTAACAAATGTTTAATTGTCAAATGGCAGATTTTCTGTTCATTTAACATCCATTTGCTAAACATAACAGTTTGTGAAATTCTCAAATTTGATCAACAGCATGCAACAAAGTTTAACCATGTGCAACTATGCTGAATATGGTCTACAATGCTCAAGTCATATGGTCTACAATGCTCAAGTCATATGGTCTACAATGCTCAAGACATATGGTCTACAATGCTCAAGACATATGGTCAACAATGCTTCATATGGTCTACAATGCTCAAGACATATGGTCAACAATGCTTAATATGGTCTACAATGCTCAAGACATATGGTCAACAATGCTTAATATGGTCAACATATTAATTTGTGCATTAGACACCCATATTGAGACCCGCTGGGGAAGCAGCAGAAGTTGCATCCACTTTATGATATTGAAAATAGGCTTGCACCCACCCCAAAACCAATTTGCACCCAGCGGGGATTCTAGATTGAGCAAATTATGCAAAATATGAGTCTTTTGACCAACTTTGATCAGAATTTTGTTAATTTTTGATCCCACTGGAGGGTAAAATCCACAAAACAATTTAACTGAAGAAAGAAAACGTTGGATAAGTAGGCTACAGTACAGACATTCAGAAAACCCAGACAAAGATTTCTTACCTTACTAATTCACAACAATTGATAAATGTTTACTTAACATATGTTTTTCATTGATTTTCAAGTGACTTATTTTCCAATGTATGCCCTGAAGAAAAGGGGGTTGATAATTGAGTACAAGATTCCCAGCATTTTATCACTAAGCAACAGATATTTTTATCCTCATATACATGTACATTAACACAAGGAAGGGTGGGAAACACACCATATGTTCAACATCTTACATAACTATACAACAGAGTTCACTATTTTAGAATTTGTTCATCCCAACCATGCATAGTTCGAAGACAGCAAGGTCGTGTTAACCTATAGGTTTTCTTAACTGACTGTGAGAAAAATGTTTTGAATGTCATGTTAAAAGTCCAAAATAGAGTGGAAAAGAATGGAATCGGCAAGGAAAGTTTAACTGACATGTAGCTGATGGTTAAAACTGTTTAGAAATACTAGAAAATTTAGTTTTTTTTCTCAATTTGGAGAGGAATTTAATGGAATGGACATGACCCAAGTAAATTTTTAAGTGTAATCCCATCATGGTTATGTTGCACTTCTAGAATTCCTGATCTCATTATTTATCTTTGAGGTGTTTTAAAACTCATGAATTTTATGTACTCTGTGTGCAAAAGTCTAGTTTTACCGATTTTCCATGAATAATGTTCCAAACATCAAACTTTTGCAAATTATCAAATGGGCGTAAATGGACTTCAACTGGGTGCAAACTCTGTACCTTCATTCATGGTACGATTTTCTGGGAGGGGACCAGGGATTGGAGGTGATAAATTCACACAAGCCTGAATATCAATGAAAAATAAACATTTCAAACATGTCTTTCGAAAAGATCTAAAAATGAACAGTTCACCAAGGGAATCCCTTGAAATTGCCAAATTTCTCATAGCATCTATTAAATGTGATGACTAACTCATACTTGGGTGCTAATGATATCATACATCAGGAAAGCTCTTTTCTTATAAACCTATCTTTGTAATGAAGAAATGTATGATATCTAAGGCAAATTAAGAGAAATGAGACACTTGAGTCAGGAAAAAAATTTGATTGATAATTTGGCCAAATAAGGCCCATTTTTTGAGGCCCTACAACATTTTTGGGGCCCACAAAAGAGGAGGGGGGGGGGCATGAACCGCCCCCTGGATCCGCCAGTTCACTAGTAACATACTGAGTACTTACATATCTTTAAGTCTAAAGTTTGGGCCTTAGTTAACAAATTGTGCTTTAAGGTTAAGGTTGAAAAAACCCAGATAAGTCAGACTGAAAAATGATCTTCCAAATGAAAATGTATTTCTTCTGAACATTTAGAAATTCAAGATTTTCAGACACAATTATAATTATTTTGTGCTTTTTTCTCCATATTCCATCTGATTTTATGATTTTCACTTCTCTCATCTAATCTGCGTTTAATTTAGAGGGTGAACTTCAAACAATTTTGAGTCAACATTTAAGACATATTATATTCCTTTAATATGAATAGCCTGAACTTTAACTCTATCTCAAGCCCTTAAACACGTTTAAGAGAAATATAATATCACAAATCAACAAAAAGATCAACAGTTCATTTACAAATCATACATTTGAAAATTATGAACTTTCAAAATTATGAATGGTCCTTTTGAGTTTTTATTTGTTGTTTTTATGTTAAATTGATGTTTCTTTATAAATATGGTCAGAAATACCCTTTTTCAGAGTTCAAGGTTGCCTCTACACTCTTAATTAGAGCAAACGATTTGACTTGGCCTATTTTCAAATCAGGCTAAAATAGCTATTATTTGTTTCACACACTACCCCATAAAAGGCCATAGAAGCTCAATTTAGAGACCACAGCCACTTATCAGTGAGTCTATTATTCTTTCCTACCGTAGCATTGATTTGATCTTGCCTCTTAAAAGATAGCTTCATCCACATTCTGGGTTCAACTTGGCAGAGATGGCCTGTGTGTCTGAACAACAAAAACAACTTTTGCTCAGATCTCATCCATATTAAAACTAATAAAGAATATCACGGAATTGAAATTAGACTAATGGTTTCTCTGTTGAAATGCTAAAGGTGTACTGAAGTGTAAACAAACGCTGTACTCTAAATGTAATGCTTAACCTTTTTCTCAATAAATGACATAAAAAGTAAAAAGCTTTAGAATCATATAAGGTAGCGAGAGGACGATGTGACATTTTGAATGAAAAACAGGGTATCAGTAAAGACATTTGCCTGCTAAGAGCCATCATGATAAACCATATTAACACTTAAATATTTGCAAACAACAAACTTGACATCAAAAACATGACACCACACCTATCATTATAAAATGAAAGGCTCCAGGAGAACAGTTAAAATAGTTTTACAAACATGTGTTCAGTAGACAGTAAAACAGGTATAGTGAACACTTATGGAACCATTAAAGTGTTCACTGTAAGTAGGTGTTTACCACAGAGGAAATTTTATACAAGAGTAAAATGTGTCTTGAAGTGGTGTTCACTAAACACAGGTGTTCACGAGAGAGAGGTGTTCACTAAGACAGGTTTTACACATAGTATGTGCAGACTTACTAGTATTCTAATGAAAAATACAATTGAAAAATGATGATTTTGTCACATATTTCAAAGTTCATGTTTCAAAACTCATGTTTATCAAATAAATTATTGCCTCCTTTGAAGTATATACTTTTTACTTTTCAGATTTCCTAATGGATCCAGTACTTCCTTACAAGGGATGTTTTTTTAAGAGTTTAACTTGTTGGCTTTTATACAGTTCATGTGAAATCAATATTCACAGCTTCAGAACTTTAGCTAATGCCAGAGATTTTTTTTAATTCAAAAGCACCTAGATGACTTTTAAACAATCTGTTTAGTTGATTTTGAGATATTCTTGATGATATATGTTCTTCCCACAAAGGAAATCATTAACGGCCGAGTTATCAAATATAATTAACTCAAAAGAGAGTAATTACAATTTTGACATTGAAATGCCTGGGGAAAACTTTGAAAATGATTTTCTATGTTGCGATGACCTTGAAAACAATTTGTCTTTCCAGCATATTTAAAAGTGCTTGGATACTTGATTACACTGATTTTACATTTCTAGGTAGGAATAGAAAGAATTGTTTAGACTAGCAAGATGCTAAAATGCCAGTTGAATTTACGAAATCAATCAATTCTTGAAATGAAGTAAATTTATAAAAGATATAGTTCAGAAGGAAACTTTAAGAGCTCAAAAATTGTGCATTTGACATTCTGTGTTGTTTAACTATTTGTTTAGCTTTAGAAATTTCAATGTTAACAACAAGTAATTGTAAAAAACACATTTGACATGCTGACATATGCAACCATTCATCATGCCTTAGCTGTCAAGTGGTAAAAGCTTGAGGCCAATTTGTTCCTAGGCCAAACTCAACAATATGAAATAAATCGTACCTTTACACAATGAAACACTGGCGCATTGTCAATTTATATGTGAATATATATGTTTACAGTTATCTATTGTAAAGTTCAAGTGACAAGTGACGAACTAGAGATAAACATACATTTGTTTTCTGCCTTATTGACAGCAAATCAAACTTTTTCAAAATACTGCACGATGTTGCCTTTAATTTTGTCAGAAATGACATTTTAAATAAACAAAAAAATAATATAGAATATATATGTATATATAATATAATATAATAACTATTTTTTTCAGAAAAATAAAATTTGAAATTTAATAATTTTTTTGTTACTTTTTTAGCCTTCACCCATTTTGCATTTACGAACTAAAGAAAAAGGAGAAAGAACTTTTACAAGACAATACTGCGATCTTTACCCCATTTTCTGAACTTTGGAACTATTTATCATAACTGAGAGTTAAGCTATCTGAAGATGGGGGTAAAGTACATCTACTTTCAGAAGTCCTCTCTCAAAAAAATTCAACCTGGGTCATAAAGCAATAGAGAAAAATTAAGTATTGGCGAGAATTTTTTAGGAATTCATAAAACCACAGATCAAACTGGGGATAATCTTACGAAATTCTGAAAAAATATTACAAATGTTGCCAAATTGTTAAATGAAAAATGTGACTTATATATGACCCGAAATTGAATTTTTTTGAACGGGAGATTTTGATGGACTTCTACAACTGGTATCTAGGGCACCAGCTGGAGGAAGGCCCTTCAACTTATAAAATAGATCGCAATATTGCATGTTTTGTAAATTTTTCTGCAAAAATATATGTTTTTTTTCTATACACACAAAGTTATAAGCTTAAGCAGAGCTCATTGAACATGTATACACGAGGGGCTTATCATTCCCAAAATTATATAAATCTGTTTGTTTAGGGACATTCTGTTACAGAACAAAACTGCAATGTATACACATATTAAATGAGCTCTGCAATATTTGTATCACTTACAGTAGAGAGGCATGTAAACTGTTATAGGTCTGTTGCTATTTACACTGTCTCTACTGGTAGGTTAATATTGAGGTGGAGAATGGGGTGTAGGCGAACAATCCGGACACGGGTGAGGATAATAATACTGGTTTATCTGACTATTATAAAACTGTGCCTGCGGTTGGCAATATGATTGGGCCCAGGCTGGCGAACCGTAATAGACCTGATCTATAATCAAGTTTTGCTGATCCTGAAACGGTTGGAAGCTATTGCCGTCGAATTGATCTAACTGCGCCTGTTTTTTCATCGCCTGTTTTTTATCCTCCCATTCTTGAATTCGGCATACCTGATTGGCTAATTCCTGGATCAGGTTTAAAGTTTGCTGTCGTTCGTGATTCATTAAGCATATGGTGCTAGCGTTCACCACGTTGTATAATAACACTAGATAGTCATATTTAAGTTGGTCGTCTCCCGCAAAATGATTCGCGAGATAATTTTCCAGTTTACTCTGCTGAGTCCGTATGTCTGTGAAATCGATAAAGAATCGTGAGCACATATATCGCTCCAGAGCTTTGCAATCCACATTTTTTGCATGTGTATATCCTCTCACTTGGAGATTACAGTATTTTAGCAAACCGCCGCCACGTATTTCCTCGGGATTGCGAGTTGCGATTAGTTTATTATGAAGGTGGTCTAAAGCTTCGCTGAAATTTCCATACACACTTTCCGCGACAACAGTCGGGTAGAAATGTTGGCTCATGGGAGTAGATGAGGTCTCGGATATCGTATAAAATGTTAGAAGGCTATCCAAAATGACTTGGAAGGAATCGACGCTAAATTCGAATTGTCGCTTCATTGTGTCCACAAACTTCAGTTCAATATTTCTTCCCTTATTGTTTGACAGGGAAATGAGACTCCATCTGTCTTTTGATTGGGTAACTTTCACCAGTTTCTGTACATAGGCGCTCGCCAGAGCTGGTCGACTCATTTTATCCTTATTCACGCCCTTTGGAAGGAAGTCAAGCAGCGAATCAAGTGCCGCATTTTTGATTTTCTGTAAATCATTGGAACTGACCAAATCAACTCCGAAAATCAAATCTAAATCATTGTATGAGTGGACGTCATCATTGGAAACGATATAACTTGCTGCGCCTCCATTTATTCGGATATCTCGGATTTTAACTCCATCTCCCTTGAGCTTATTTGACACTACACGAACCAAATCCTTCAGTTTTATATCCAAAGTTGGGTAGTGGTTCCTTCCATGTACAGGGAACACAGATCCCATAACTTTTTCAAGTCTCTCAACCTGTTCATGACATAAAAGTTGATAGCGGTTGAATTTCTTTTCATTTTCCGTGGAGGCCATGACCGCTTCACTCTCCACTGATGTTCGACGCCTTGTCAACTGTAAAATATAGAAACAAAATAGAATTAACTCACTAAATATGCTAACAGACTGTCTCTTTTCGTTCTCAAGTCTGCAAGATTGCAAAATTGAACTTTCTGTGTGTCCTTATCGATTGAGCAGCCGCATTACACTTAATTCATCCGCTAATATTATTACGCGAGTAAAGGATATTGATCATAAAATCACTCTATGAATGGAAGATTAACGGCAAGGATTAACCGGGGTTTAATGCGCAATACACAACGGTAGCCTGTATAAGCTCTTTTAACAATAACAAACTGTTATATATCGTATAAAAATACGGACTATATTATGTTAAATCGCTTATTTGACCTCCGACGCAGGGTCAAAGATGAAGAGAGAGAATTTCTTGGTCACTATGGAAACGAAAGTATCAGCATCATTTCCGAGAAATCAACAGAAATAGTATCCCCTTTTCTGGTGTCAAAGCATTATGACTGATCAAGTTGTTTTCACCTTGCACTATATAAAAAGGTCGACCATGTTATATCATGGGCTCATGTTATATGTAACAATGAGAATGGAGAACTGACAGGGGGAAATGTGGTGTTTTGTAGGCATAATGCCTAGGCTATCGAGATATGTAGGAAACAGCAACAGAAACTATTAGAAGGAGCCATGATTGTAGTTTAACCAGAAGTCATGATATGGTCAATGGTTACTCACGTCGAGAGCTACCATGTTAGATTTTGAATCTAAGTAGCTCTCGACGGGAGTAAGTCAATGGCGCATTTAGGTCTAAACTAAATATTGCCCCCCCCCCATCTGGAATCAACCTGTTACTGCAAGCGATCAACAAGTTTAATTTAGTGGTTCACTTTCGCCATCTTTTAATTCAGTGTGCATTTATTTGCACATTGATACAATTCAGTCTTCAGCTGAACCGTAAATTAAAATTAGGCATTTTCGATTTTCCACACTGTGTTTACAACTTTACATGTACATGCCATCTTTGAATGTAAAACAGTTTTTTTTACATACATGTACTTCACATTTATTTCTATAAATATATAAATATTTCTATAAATCAATCAGTTTCAGATTATTTATAAATACAAATATGAAACAATTTAACTCTCATTCTATGTTGTTAGTGTTTTATATGCGAATATAGACCTATTAAATTTGGGGCAGGTCAAATCTTTAATTGTCTCCAATTACATCGACTCATTATTTGGAGATATACATGCACAAAGTGAAATACTTTTTTCATGGTTATTTGAACGAGTATTCCGATAATTTACTAGTGAGGTCATGCAATTAAAACAGAGTTGGCGGTGGATCTTTTTCATTTCCTTAGAGTATCAATGATACAAATCTACGCCGTGTTAACTTAAACGTCATCACACTTCCCCCTCGTTACTCATTAAGAGTTTGTCCTCGAACATCATAACCAAACGCCATTATACTGTTGAATCAAGCCTACTATTAAAACACGACGATTAATTAGGTCCTTTATGTTACGATAACTCATTTGAAGTAGTTTTATATTTTTAGGTTAGCTCTTTTACAATCATATTATCGATGCTTTGAAAGTGACAGTTTCCGCTACTAAATTAGGCGTAATTACTAAACGGATTGTATTTCTAACAAAATATAACTTTAATGTTCAGTTACGACGTCTTTTCCATAATGACAGTAATTTTAAATATCACTTTTCAATAAAAGTAAGATATTGCTCATATTTGTCTTTAATTAACAATCATTAGTTAAGGATAAATAATTAATTATGAGTCGAATCGAGAGCCAAAAGACTCATCTTTAAAACAAAAAACTAAATATAAATTGGCGTTGTTTTCTTTTAAAATTCATTTTGAATTCTTATGATATATTTGTAGAAGCAAACAAATTCACACTCCCTTTATAAGATTTGGAACTGCGGAAGTTGTCATAAGATAGCAGTGTCAAAACCTGTAAATGTTCGAATCTTTATTTAATTAGCTCGGAAAATGACAAATTAAATGACTTTTAAATGACCAAACATAACCAGGCGCATTGATAAGTAATCCAAACGTAATCTTCAGGTTTAAAACTTATGGAGGGGAGTGTAAATGTCAAATCAAAAGGATATATGTGCAAGATTGGATAGGATATTTAATACTCTGAGCTCTAATTCATGAAATGGGGGATATGACGCGAATCGAGCCACACTTCAGGCCTCATTATATAGCCAACCCATCTTTCTCAGGTTCCGAATAGAGTACCTACTAAATGATGTTTTTCATTTTGCCTTATCTATTTCAATACATACACTCCCCTTTATAAGCTTGACAACTAGATGCCCTCTTTTTGATCACTATTAAAATTCTGCATAGGCGTTAATTAATATTCAGACATTGCCATTCGTTGACATGTCATCAAATGAAAAGTTCCAGTTTCTAAATTTATTGAGGGGAATATAGGATAGGTTCTGCTTAGCTAGCCATGAGGCCAACAATTTACAGAAAAGGTGCAGAGACCGTTAACATTTCTCAGATACCAGCCTCTTTGGCTCTGAAAGCTTTGCCGCGCCTATTGGAATTTGCCTCGCCTGTTTGAATTCACCTCGGTTGTTTTTGGATTCTGGGTCACCCTTATGTTAATCCAATCAATCGCCCATGGGCATTTTGGAGGCGTACAGCTTATGCCGTGCCAATAAAAATCAAACTCTAATATGGTTTTGGATCAAATTGGTCAAATGACATTTGTGAAATAAACGCCCTGTGTGAAAGAAATTATGGTCACCTAGGGATTATGGTTCCCCTTTTCAAAAGCCCTTACTGGCCTCGATTGTGCATACGATAATAAGGGAAAGAGGTTACCATATAAATCAATGGAGAGTAGGACAATACATTAATAGGACCTACCATTTTACACCTGTGAGCCTTTTTCACTGGGTAAAATATGCGTAACTATGTTTATGATTGAAGATAGTTAACATATAAAACACCATTTCATTTAATATGGTCTTAATTATCACGGGATACGGACTTTATTATCCCGTTCTTTGATTCGAAATATGAAGTATCTAATTCGATTTGAAGTGCATGTTATATCCATAGACGTCATTTCGTTTTCAACCCTGTTCAAAATAATAAACGAATTGCTTCAGCGTCTAATGAATAATCTACATACAATCTATACTATGCTTACGTTCACTTACGGATCCAGCGGTACCAGCTTTGAAAATGATAAGCTATTCTGTTGATAATTCTTTATCATAACGTAAATTATGTTATAAGAATTAAAATTATTTTATACACCGCTCCATAAGTATGGTGACGAGAATTTTGCGGATTTTTAGATACCATACAAAGCTTTTGGATGCGTAATATGTTCGGAAGATATATATTTGATGATTCTTTTTAATCACCAAACCTAAATAGGCGTTGATAGGTGATCTAAAGGTTCACCTCGATTTGCTAAACTTATGTAGGGGAGTGTGATGATATGCATGCCTATTGTTGTATGTTACATATTTTCATAAATATTTTATTAGTTTTGTATGGTTTATTTGACCAAGAAGTACATGTTTTCTAAGATATCAATGAACTTCTTTATAATGATATATAACTATATCCGTTAATGATTTATTTATTTCAATTATGATGGGATGCGGAGGTTATGCAGTGAAAATATATGAGCAAAAGGCCAGCTAATTTCTAGAATTAGGTGAGGCAAGTTACAAAAGGCGAGGCAATTTCAAGAAATTGACGAGGCAAGTTATTTAAGGCGAGACAATTCTAGAAATAGGCGAGGCAAGTTACAAAAGGCGAGGCAATTTCTAGATATAGGCGAGGCAAGTTACAAAAGGTGAGGCAATTTCTAGAAATAGGCGAGGCAAGTTACAAAATACGAGGCAATTTCTAGAAATAGGTGAGGAAAAAAGGCGAGGCAATTCTAGAAATAGGCGAGGCAAGTCATAAAAGACGAGGCGAAATAGGTGAGGAAATAGGTGAGGACAAAAGGCGAGGCTTTAAGCAATGCTGTTTGACATCATATTCACTGTTTTAGTACAAATTAAATGGATTTTAATTTTCAGTAAAATGTTGGTGAGGCATTCGCCTCGCTTGCCTCACCTGGCTCTTGGCTACGGTTATGTACTTTAATCGTTACTTTGAACTTGTCTCGACTCTCCACTATTTGGTATACGTTAAGAAATCCTCGGATGTTAGATATACTATAGATATAAAAAACAGACACTGTTTAATTATGCCTCTTTGCTCAAATCTAATAAATAACATACTTCGGTCTTGCGAATCCAATATAAATACATAAATCGCCAGTAGTTCAGTCAGCAAGCTATTTTTATCTTATAATTATTCAGGTACTATCGATGGGACACGAATGACGTCAATATGCGGTGTTTTATGGATGTTTACTCATATTCAATTTGTCTTGGGATTTCAGACATGAAACGGACAGTCGACGTAACTAATCAAAGCGCTTTATCTTTTCTTAATTGTCTTAAACATGTTAAAGAGACATGGAATATTTTTTTCTTTATTTTAAAACCTTGAAAGTAATTAATACGATAAGCAAGTAATAAACATGCACAGAGATCAAGAAAATATATAATGAGTTTAAAAATGAAGAAAAAGCATTTGACTCTGCTGGGATTTGAACCCGCTCTGCCTGGTTAGGTCTAAAAATAATGATGTGCTCTAACCACTACTCCATCATTGCGGCAACTGATTTTATACATACAACTAGTTTTAGAAAGATGTTTATCACTACACTTTTATTAATAGCAATGGTCCATGATACTCCCAAGTACACTAGATTTCATGTCTGAGTAAGCATTTGAAGGCAAATTTAGACTTAATGATGTTTTATTCAGTTTTCATTTTTTTGGCATGACGACCTATCAAAAGTGTGTCAAAAACTGTCAAGTTATTATTTGTAAGAATATTTTTACTTATCTTTTTATATTTACAATATTTTTCTTGACATTGCAAATATACAAATACATGTAAAATGGTAGGTTATTATTCAAAAATATTTTTTCTAAGATAAACATTTTCTCTCGAATTTGATAGTGGGCGTTCAATTTTACAATGGTTCAATTTAAAAGAACATAGACACTTCAAATTTTTGGATCGATTTGAAACCATTGTAACACATGCTATCAAATTACTAAGACTACGTCGTGTAGTGTTATTTGTCTTCTTAGTTTTTCTGTCTCACGCAACACGATCGATCGATGCAACAGTTGTCCCAAATGCGGCGGTAGTGCTTGCCCATAACCAGCTTTTACTAAGGGGGGGGGGGGGGGTGATGTTACCAAGGGAGGGGGAGCTTTTTGACTAAAAATCATGCGAAAAAATGCCGAAATATCCCAAAGTCTGATCAATGAAAAATCTACAACCCCCCATCCCAACTATCTTTCAGGAACCAAAATCACAATCATATATCACAAGGCCGTAGGATATTAATTAGTTTTATTGAAGTCATCAATGCGTTTGAAGTAAGAAACGCGGCAAAATGCTCAGGATGCGGGAATATGGATTTTTCCCGTTCTGTTTGTGCTTTTTCACATTATCAACGAACAAGGAATGTAATCAATCATCCCTAGACTAAATGATCCAATGTGGGGCTGAACAATCAAGTTAGACAATCCATCATGATAAAGAATAATGAGTGTCAAGAACGCATATTTTAAGGGGCGCTATGAGGGTTCCGTTACGCCATTTCCTTTAGGGTTCCGTTACGTCACTTGTTAGTGTGTTTTCAAACATGGTCGCAATCTGGTCTTGGTCTTCATATTGTCCACCTTTGGCAATATAATATTAACAATCAATATGAGTTGTCATTGGATAATCTAATATCCGGAATTACATATATCTCATATACGATACCTCTGTATTCTTTGCAGCTACAAGAAAAATATATTGCTTGGAATTCTAAAGAAGACGACAGCCCAGATTAATTGCCTTTCTTTAGTTGCAATCATCATAGCTTCAGCGCAATATATAATCATTTTTACTTATGATGTCAGATTGCATTCCTCTGGGAAGTAACTCCATTACTACACGTTATTATTAGTAGGTTAAATTCAAGTTAATACCCACGGCAGGGAATGAACCGGATTTCCGAACGATTCTTCCAATTTTTCATTACGGTTGATACGTCTCTAATTAATACACCTAATTCGAGGAAATGGCGCAGTGATTGTGTTATAATGATCTACTGTTATCAAACGGGAGACGATTGAACATTATATCATTCTTGTTGGCTTGTTCGCAGGGGCTGTCGGCCAGGTCGAGCGTGAATATGGTTCGCATCGCTTGACACATATGAGTATGGCTTGGCGACTGTCGTAACCTAAAGGTCGCCGAGTTCGAGGTTCATGTGCTTCAAATTTTTACCAAATAGTAATGCCTTGGTCACATTTGCTCCGATTTTCACCACGGTTCCCGGCCGATTGAGCATTTTGTTCAAAATTGAATACAATATTGAGCAAAACACTCAATCGGCCGGCCGCCGGCCGATGGATCGGAGCAGATGTGACCCAGGCATAATAGTTTCTCTGATGTTATTGGCACGACCAGCAGCTGGAACAGTTTGAGCGCCTCGTCCCAATTTTATATAGCATAAGGTTACCATATAATTACAGTACACTCCCCACCATAAGTTTGACAACCTGACGTTTTTATTAAAAAGCATATAAAAACCCGTCAATGAATGAATAAATAGTAGCTGGGACACGTAATGCATATTTTAAAATCGCCAAACATAATCTGGGTTTAATTAATGATCTTTATAAAATACGACTTCTGTTTGCCAAACTTATGGAGGGTAGTGTACATGTAAGTCACCGTATAAACAAATGGAAGGGAAGGTGGGCATAAAACTCTTTTTAAGAACTCATACCTTGAATGATATGGGAGACGTGGATAAATAAGAATATTGCGTCCATATGGTATGAACCACGACGTCAAATAATGTAATACACGACTCGGTAGGTCAGCCTGACGTCGGTTACATTCATTTTAATTTGCCCCTTTCTCATCTCGTGCAATATAATAGATAAAAACTAGTTGAGCCAGTGGAACGACCGCTGTATCTAATAATAGACATCTAGAATAACCGAGCAAATGGCTAAAATGGCGGAAACATTTGTCTGCGTCAATGAAGATACAACAGTAAACAAGTTCCACTGATAGGACATCATTGCGAGTCATTACGATATTTAATCCTCTTTTCAGTATATTATCCTGTCAAACCAATCAACATCTTATTTCTCACGCACGGATTATAATTTCTTTCATTAATATCTCAATGCGAGGGCGGAATCACTATACTGAGGGGGAAGTGTTACATACTGGAATTTTCCGGAAGAACGGGATTAGCATTGATTCTTGTATTCGCGGGGATGTTATATCAGGATGAGTGATTGCATTGCCCACGCATATATCCACAGTCTTACTTACGTTACTGTATCGATGTCGTCCTCCCCAGCGCCTTATTTATCATGTAAAGCCTTAAGTCAGCTTAAGTCGACCAGGCTTATAAGAAGTTATGCTGAATATACAATCGATTGTACTTATGAACGAGCCGATGAAAAATGGCTTTGATTATTATATCAGACGGTGTGATCAACATGGTATAAGTGATAGCTAGAAGTGATAGCTATAGCTATATCTCATTACAAGACAGGCTCTTTCTTGATCAAGAAATTCGCAAGTTCGCCTATTAACGCATCAACTATACGTTAATCCACAACACGTACAACATCTAATTCAGAAATACCAGAGAGTAATTCTTTAACTTATAATGAAAAAAAGTAAACTTTACAATATCCGCTCTAAAACGCCACGATTTTATACATTTCATTTAAGTTTAAATAAGAACGTGTCTATTGTAAAATATCTCTATTTATAATTAGCAGACCCGCAATTAGAAAGATGATTCGATAAACTCATTCGTATCCCTTGAATCAAAGAATGATTTCAAACTGTTGCGTAATAACTATCTCAACGGTAAGTGTTTTAACGATTGACCATTCAGAAATCTGCTAATTGATGACGTGATTATTGTCACATCAAAAGATGCGGACTTAAAAATAATATTTTTTCGTTGGTTTACGTCTCCTTGCTAAAAGTCTCAAAGGTACAGTAGCGACCAAGTTTCTCTGATTCTTAGACATTTTAAATTATACTACACAATATCGTTATTACGTGAAGCACTTAATAAACACTACTATACCATATGGTAAAGAGCCCGGTGGATCCGGAAATGATAATGTTCAGTAAAAAGTAACAGTTGTGCAGTTCACATATTATTCTCAAGCAAATCGATACAAAAACCTGTTTTTCAATACCTAGATTTCCAAGAATCAATTTTCAATGAAGCTTGGTGATACAACGGATTGTCAGTTATTATCATTATTTAAGAATTGTAAACATATGGTCTAATCACGAGCAATCAAAGTCGACGCTTGCCTTATAATGAAAAATCATTGTCACCGCTGGCCTAATAATGATAAATCATTGCCACCCGCTGGCCTTATTTTGAAGAATCATTGTCACCGCTGGCCTAGCAATGAGGAATCATTGTCACCGGTGGCCTAATAATGAGGAATCATTGTCACCGTTGGCCTTATTATGAAGAATCATTGTCAACACTGGCCTTATAATGAGGAATCATTGTCACCGCCGGCCTAATAATGATGAATCATTGCCACCGCTGATTTTATTACGAGGAATCATTGTCACCGTTCGCATTATCATTAGCAGTTATGAGAAATCATTGTAAAACTAACAAGCAAGTAATATTACTCAAACATCCAGGAATATTTCAATGATTGCTGTCTTTGAAAGAGAATTCACAAAGATAATTAATAAACGAGAAATAATTGAAATAAGCAAGGGAGCTATACATACCAGATGTCCGAGTTAAAAGAGCGAGAGAATACAAACTATGCTGTATATGTATATCCTTGGTCCAGAGTAGAACGAACTAATGATGCTATACCTATATTAAATAGTGTCTTCTTTTTATTCCTTACGGGATATGGACGTATCAAGATCGAGGAAATTTCCAGCAAGTATTCCTTTTTGAGGCTCTGTACAACCCTAATTACTCCTTATGAAATGTAGAATGCATACTGTGTGTAGTGGATAGATACTCCTTCCGGCTGGATTACGTCAAGAACAAATTACAAGTGTGACTAATTTTCATTTTGATATGTTGCTAGGTAACGATTGTAGTCTACGAATTGAGTCTTTTTTTCCGACCTTAAGATAGTTAGATAACTGCGCTTATTACGTTTGGTAGATACTTATATGAACATTCAGTCGGTTGTTATCGGGGAATGATCGGAACAAAACAGCGTAGGCGACGGAAAATCAATACGTTCGTGACGTCGCTCAACGTCACTGGACTAATTTGGAATTATTGCGGAAATTAATGCAACAGGCGCTTCTTATATCTGGAAATGTATAGTGGGAAGCTGATGCATTAGATCTAGTGTATCCGGTATAAAAGGCCAATTGTGAATTGAAATCGGGGCAATGCAGTTTTTGTAATCATCTTCGACTTGATAAAGAAGAATTATGAAAACTTATCAAAGCTCATCAAGAATGGACGATCTTTCATAGGTTAATTCATACGAGAACTTCGATATCTTGCATGGAGTAAATATGGTTGTATCTTTGTTAGTCATATGAGAAAAAATAATTATAATCTCCTTGTCAATTAATTGTTGGGCGTTGACATGACATGAGTCAATACATGATCAAGTCAAGTGACGTCATGTCTTGAATGAGTGACATTATTATCAAGTTGGTATACCTATCTATCTAACCCCCTATCAAATCTAACTAGTTCTTACCCGTTATTGCCAGTCCTACGGAAATGTCGTAAAACGGGCTCAATCTGGCTGTGGTCGGGAAATATGTCTAAAATAATTAGCTACTTCGTTCATAAACAGTCTTCAATACAGTACGTCAATCTTATTCGCATTTCGTTTAGGTCGCACCACGTCGGTCTGCAACGTCGTATAACGCGTACCTTAGTCTAAAAGGTCATCTTGACCTGATTACAGAACGGTATGGTCGCCATCGAATTTTGAATCGATTCAAAATTTAAAATCACATTCCCCGTCCTGGGAAGTCCATGAAGTTCGTAAACAGACCGTAGAACGTTGTAGCTACGTTCAGTCCGTTCGCACACAGTTTAAAACCAGTTTTGAAGAACGCAGTGGCAACTTGCTTGGTGTGATAGCTATATTTTTGCTAACTCGTTGATAAATACGTTCTTAATCAGTTTTAATTCGTTTGCAATTAGTTCAACCTTGTTCTCAATACGTCCTCAGACAGTTCAACACGTTGTAAAAACGTCCCAAGTAGGATTGAAGTACGACGGTTCCGTTCGTAGTACGTCCAGCTCGTCGTTAGTAGGTTGTCACTCGTTCTAATTGTAGAACGTGACGACCAAGAAAACATTTTGAGCATGTTCTAAGTTCTAGAGGACCTACCCATTCGAGTACGTTCGATGAAGTTTGTAAATAGACCCCAAATGGTTCTAAGTACATCCAGTCCGTTCGTACACAGTTGAAGCCCGTTTTCGAAAACGTAGTGAGAACTAGTTTGGTGTGATAGTAGGGTAAAGAGCATAAGGAGTATAGCAACAAAAGAGAAACAGAGATTTGATACACTCACACCGGAATAGCCTGACAACGGTAAAGTAAGATACCGTTGTCACAAATGGCGGATATAACCGTCGCTTCAATTAGATTTTCATGAACTATATGTTTAGTAGAGCACCTAAGCTAAATTCATTTGGACACTGTGTTGGAACAACAATCAATCAAAGTGTCTTTATACTCATTGTACAGCTACTAATGTTCTACCATCGAAATAAAGTCTTTGATTTTAACAGAATAAAATGAGATACGGGACAACGTCACCGTATTACCATATGCCGTTGTCTTTGTAAATTATTTCAAATTCAGATTCCGTTGTCAGTCATTGACGATATCGAAGACGCGGCGATTCACGACCCAATTGGATCGAAATTGGGATTTCATATGATACATCATCACAAGAGCTTAATGCATGCACAGAATTAGCGACGATAAAATTCCATGAAATGAGGACCATGTGATTAGAGTTGAATTGACGGTTATGTCCGCCATTTGTGACAACGGTATCTGGCTTTACAGTCTTTACAGTTGTCAGGCTATTCCGACGTGACTCTGATGGATGAATCGATATAGGTTAACCATGAGATATTTCATTAATTATAGATGTCTCCTTCATTCATCTGTCCAATGAAATGTATAAACGTCTGACAGCTCTGACTGGAAAAAGGAATTTAGCAAATCGAAACTTAGTTCTAAGTAATGGACGCCTATGGCCTTTGAGACTGGATTTTGTCAATCAAACATCATTTAAGACTTGATTCTTACTATGGTATTAGTACTCGTATCTAGAATCATTTTTGATATTATGAGTACTAGTATTCTAATTTTTTTCAATATGTTTTGTTTTGACTTCAGTATGAATGAAATCTCCCTTTGTGTTCTAGTCTTTGATTGTGATATTAGGTTTTGAATGATTGGGGAAAGAGGGTATTAGACATCGTTTCTTTTTACGTAAGAACGTGGTTTTGGGATATATGGGGTTTGTTTTAATTTTGACTGGCAAACACTTAAAGTTTGTCAACTTTTGACACTTTCCCTATGGCACTAGTGCCTAGATATTAATACATAGAGTCTGCCGTGACTACGTTATTTTAACCCTAATGGGCGGGGGGGGGGGGGTAAAACTGAAAACCGGAAAATCGAGCCTATATGGTGTCACTACGGTAAATCATTGAAAAATATTGAAAAAAATCACAAAATTCAAGTTCTGGGGTACATTTCGCCATTTTCGAACGAATTACAATGACTATATTTCTGCGTTCCCCTATACATAACCTTCATCTTGACACTATATTTAACATAGGGTTTGCGTCTCGATTTTTAAATATCACTACGCCAACATAGGGACTCATTTTTAGGTAAAATCCCTACTTCACCGATGAAAATTAACGAGTAAAGAAGTTCCAGTTTACGGGACTATATTCTTGCGATTTTTTTCTTAAAATGGCACATTTAGAAAGTACTTGGCCTCAGCTTTACAGACATATACCTCAAATGGCCACATTGCATACACTTAAACCTACTACTATACACACCATTGAAGTTGGCATGGCTTCGTTTTTAAAGTATTAAAAAACACTGTCCTACCCGGAAGTGCTACCCGGAAGTGCCATTTACAGGAGTGACACCATATTGACTATCTTATGATTTCATAAAGGTAAAAAATACTTAATCGCCAAGTATTCGCGAAACGTGTTCTCTTCACGAATTTGAGTGAGAAACGTTTTTTTTTCAAAAACTATTTTACGAATACCTTTGTTTTCTTATTCCCGAATGTTTATGAGCACTAGCAGAATCATGATGATAGCTTCTTCTAAATTTTAGACGTATAATTTTTTTATTTTCCCCACCTCCCAATTTTTCAATTTCACTAATTTGATGTTTATGTCATAGGCGGTGGCTAGACAAAATCCTGGAGCAAAAATTGAAATAATACCAAGTCAGGTATTTATTTATTTTATCACTAAATCACTGATCGGCATTCGTTGTACATCTTGAACTATGAATGCTGAAAACAAGTTGAATTTGAAAATGTTGATTATTCAATTTCGCGTTACATTGATGTCAATGGGATTTCGCGATACCTGCTATCTTTGAGAGAACATAAGTTCAATTTTAGGAAAGTGTTTGCCCTAATTTTAGTTTCATTTGAAAGATAACGGAGAATTATTTTACGAAACTTAGCATTTTTGGCACCAAAAAATTGTGTTTTGAAAGAAAATTGATATTTTAAATCGATATGTATAGGTTCATAACAATACCAACATTATTGAAATCATAGAAGTAAAAAAAAAATCAGTGAGGGTAGGTGTTCTATGAACCCCCCCCCCCCTTGCTGCTTAGTGTTATGCAAAAAGCAGACATTTGGATTTATATCAAGACTATTGAGTACCTTTTTTGCTCTTCATTTCACGGTTTTTGTTTATAAAACAAAAATTACAACAGAGTTAACAAACACCTTTTTTGGGTCACAGTAAATGGCATGATTTCCCTTTGTCTCTTCAGTTGCCAGGTAACCATACTGGGACTGATTTGTGTCGTTTCACTACTGTCCTTGGCATGGGGTCGCTTCAATATTGAATGGCTCCCGCTGTTTCCTCAAAAATATCACAAACGACTTTAAAATTTTACCACATTCATGAAGCGATTTATTGGTTTTTCTTTCGAAAAATTAAATTTTGCAGTTTAAATTGAATTTTCTAGCTGAAATTGTGTAGTCCCCTCTCTACTCATTTTTGTCCCATTTACGGTCATGAATTTTCGTAAGAACCCTTGATGATACCTCAAAGTATACCAATCTGCATTCTTTGAATCATTCAGGGGCTATATTCTGATTTTTTTTCAATGTGTTGTCGTATATGTCAGAATCAAGTTTCAGGGGGGCTAGCAGACAACATATCACGGTGTGTGATCGAAATATTGGTCCGACGTGGAGAAGAATGACATTTTTCATAAAACAGTAAGACAACTATAATTATATTTTTACTCATACGTGTGCCGAAAGAAAATTACCTATTCATGCAATGGATATATTATTTGCGGGTAACTTTAAATTCTGTTTGATATGAATGGTCATAGATAACATTATTTTCGCAGACTGTTCCTGCTTAATTAACTTGTTTTGCAAACTTTCCTGCAAAGTTCCCTGTTGGGATATACTAGAAGACAATCAATGTATTAATAAATCCACTCATGTCCGTGTATTGTGAACTACCACATCCAATCTCTATAGAGGCCGCCCATATTACCTATAGTGGACATTTGTCAATAAATCGGAACATCATATTGTATGTCTAGTTTTCCATTAAGGCCATTTATTTATCATTAAATCTGAATTATGAGAATATAATAATTGATGCATGT